AACCCCCTGCTCAAGCAGCAGACCCTGCACCATTTCAGACAAATGGCTGCCCAGTCTCTCCTTGAAAGCCTCCAGTGATGGCAAACTTCTGGTGGCAAGCTGTTCCATCGGTTCATTGCCCTCACCGTTAGGAAGTTTCTTAATTCCTTGATCATTTTAACATTCCTTAACTGTGAATTCCACAATCCTTGTATTTGTTTTGAGTTATCATTATGATGTATTTAATGGACAGTTATTAATTCCCCGTTAGTAATTTCTCATCAACTCCCTATCGACCGTGCAATTCGCTTTACAACCAGGACAGAAAAGGTGGTAAAATCAAATAACTTGTCTTGCTTAGATTCTTCTGGTTCCTGCTTAGTAGTAAAGGCTCGTCTCCTTCTAAATAGCGCCTGACCCACCTTCTAAATGAGCTTGGAGAAATGAGAATCCTTCCAGAGGGATTTAAGGAGTTAATCTGTCCCTTGAGATCTTATTTTACCCCAGCCTTGATACCAACCAGACTAAAATAACTCTCTCCCTGTGTGAACGGCTCCCTCTTCCCTAACGCTGGCTGGACAGCGGAGAAGGTGGGAACGGAGAATATATGTAGCCCAAGGTTGGACTGTGGGGGTCCTAAAGGGCTCTCTGAGTTGGGGGGGGGGTTCTTGCAGACGTTTCACGACCCAACTAGGGAACATCATCAGTGCTAGAAGGGGGGGGGAGGAGGAGGAGGAGGAGGAGGAGGAGGAGAGAATTATTCTATCCTATCCTATCCTATCCTATTCTATTATTCTATTCTATTCTATTCTATTCTATTCTATTCTATTTTTTATTATTCTATTCTATTCTGTATTTTCTTTTCTATTCTATTCTATTTCTTATTATTCTATTCTGTATTTTCTATTCTATTCTATTCTATTCTATTCTATTCTATTCTATTATTCTATTCTATTCTATTATTCTATTCTATTCTATTATTCTATTCTATTCTATCCTATCCTATCCTATCCTATCCTATTCTATTCTATTATTCTATTCTATTCTATTCTATTCTATTCTATTATTCTATTCTATTCTATTCTATTCTATTCTACTCTATTCTACTATTCTATTCTATTTATTATTCTATTCTATTCTGTATTTTCTATTCTATTCTATTCTATTCTATTCTGTAATTCTATCCTATCCTATTCTATTCTATTATTCTAATTCTATTCTATTCTATTCTATTCTATTCTATTCTATCCTACCCTATCCTATTCTATTCTATTATTGTATTCTATTCTATTCTATTATTCTATTCTATTCTATTCTATTCTATTCTGTAATTCTATCCTATTCTATTCTAATTCTATTCTATTCTATTCTACTCTATTCTACTATTCTATTCTATTTATTATTCTATTCTATTCTGTATTTTCTATTCTATTCTATTCTATTCTATTCTATTCTATTCTATTCTATTCTATTCTATTCTATTATTCTATTCTATCCTACCCTACCCTATCCTATCCTATTCTATTATTGTATTCTATTCTATTCTATTATTCTATTCTATTCTGTAATTCTATCCTATTCTATTCTAATTCTATTCTATTCTACTCTATTCTACTATTCTATTCTATTTATTATTCTATTCTATTCTGTATTTTCTATTCTATTCTATTCTATTCTATTCTGTAATTCTGTCCTATCCTATTCTATTCTATTATTCTAATTCTATTCTATTCTATTCTATTCTATTCTATTCTTCTATTCTATTCTATTCTATTATTCTATTCTATTCTATTCTATTCTATTCTATTATTCTATTCTATCCTATCCTATCCTATCCTATCCTATTCTATTCTATTCTATTCTATTCTATTTTATTCTATTCTATTCTATTCTGTATTCTATTCTATTCTATTCTATTCTACTCTATTCTACTATTCTATTCTATTTATTATTCTATTCTATTCTGTATTTTCTATTCTATTCTATTCTGTAATTCTATCCTATCCTATTCTATTCTATTATTCTAATTCTATTCTATTCTATTCTATTCTATTCTGTAATTCTATCCTATTCTATTCTAATTCTGTTCTATTCTATTCTATTCTATTCTACTCTATTCTACTATTCTATTCTATTCTATTTATTATTCTATTCTATTCTGTATTTTCTATTCTATTCTATTCTATTCTGTAATTCTATTCTATTCTATTCTATTCTATTCTATTTTATTATTCTAATTCTATTCTATTCTATTCTACTCTATTCTATTCTATTCTATTCTATTCTATTCTATTCTATTCTATTCTATTCTATTCTATTCTATTCTGTAATTCTACTCTTATTCTATTCCATATTTTCTATTCTATTTCTATTTCTAAATTCCATTCCTCATTGACCCCGGGACCGTTCCTACATTTTGCTGAGAAAGAGAAGAAGACACCACCTTGAACATTCAACAATTACGAAGCACAAACTCACAGCGGATAACGTTTCAGCTCCTGCAGAGTCTTCCAATTTCTAAGAAAAATATCCTTTTTCAACTGATCTGCCATCAAGCTGCGTTCTTGGCAACCGTGCTCCCTTCCCAAATGCTTGGGTCTTTTTTTTTTTTTTTAGAATCCAGGCACTCTAGCCAGGCGATCTTCTGACCCTACTTAGCTTTCTGGTGGATCAGCCAAAGTCATCTGAGTACCTCTGCTCTAGCTTTCAAGCTCAACTCCTACTGACCTCGGAGACACAGTCACACACAGCTTCTTGGCCACCCCCCCCAGAAAACGATTCATCATCATTTAATTTTCAGGATTTATTTATTTCCTCCCCCCCCCCAAGATCTCAAGTCTTGGGCTTGACTTGACGTCCAAGTCCAACTTGAGTTGGACGTCAAGTCAAGCCCAAGACTTGAGTTGGCCAAGTCCCAAAAGCTTCCCAATGATACACCTTGCCAATCCTGTAGGGCAGCATCTCTCAACCTTGGGAACTTGAAGATGAGTGGACTTCAACTCCCAG